GAAAGTCTCCGCCATACTCAAGGGCCCCAGTGCCACCTCCATCTCCCCATGTCAGTGGGTGCGTATTACTGTACTCTTCTTTGGGAAGCACGGACCCTCCGCCCACATTTGATTGAGTCTTACTTTTCAGTGCCTTCCTCCTCCTCTTGAGACAAGATGTTCTGGTATAGCTTTGGCTGGCCTGGAACTCAGAGCGCTCCACCTGTCCCTGCCTCCTGAATGCTGGGATTAATGGCATGTTAATTAATTAATACCACACCTGGTTCTCTCTTTATAAACAAAAGTTTTTATGAAATTTTCTTTATTTAGTGTGGGGAAGGAGGCCCTTTATGCCACTGTGTGCATGTGGAGGTCAGCAGACCACTGCGGAGTCATTCTCTCCTACCAGGTAGGTCCCAGGGACGGGACTCAGCTTGTCAGGGCTGGTGACAGGTGCCTTTACCCAGAGAGCCATCTCACTGGCTGGCCTCTATACCTTGTATTCTTATACTAAAATATCTCTGCTGTATCTCCAACTCGGCTTCATAAACTGGCTAGTCCCAAAATTCTTTTTTGTTTGTTTGTTTTGTTTTTTGAGACAGGGTTTCTCTGTGTAACAACCCTGGCTGTCCTAGAACTCACTCTGTAGACCAGGCTGGGCTCAAACTCAAAATGATCCACCTGCCTCTGCCTCCTGAGTGCTGGGATTAATGGCATGTGCCACCACCTGGCTTCCAAAATTCTTTTCGGTATTGAATCCACAGACTTCAGATTGGCCTGAGCTGTGGTCAATCTGCTGAAGGAGGTAGTACACAGCTGTGCCTCTGTCCCCACTGACAAGATAACAGGTCCATTGTCATCACAGTGCTAGGTGTTCACCTCCTTATGGGGTCCATGTGAAGGCTACCCCCTTCCTCAGTCTCCTATGTCCCAAAAGTTCTTGGGCCTGTTTTTCTTTGTGTGATTTTAATATGCCCATGTGCCTCTATAGTCTCAATTTACCCTGATGAGTTTATAGGGTGGCATCTATATGAATGTCTACTCTTAGGAATAAGTCACTTATCAGGCTGTGCCTCGTGGGTGGTACAGAACAGATGCTACTGTTTATATGTCCATTCAGATGCACTGTCATCCTTGAGCTTCAAAATGGAGTCAAGAACTACTTGTAAATGGAGCTTCTCAGGTCACAGCCTGAGCCCAACAGCCTGCCACTTGATGGATGTTCCAGAAATAGAAATGCTTTGAACAAATGCGTTTCCCGGAACTGCCAGTGTATAGACATGATGCTGGGCGTAGAGATGCAGAGCCGGACAGACGAACTCAGTCTTTGGGAAGAAGCCCAGCCCAGCAAGATCCCAGGACCGAGGACTCGTTTGCTCACTGAATGCCTGAATCTTCCCTATGGTGGAGCCAGACCACATGTCAGCCGAAGCAAGTACCACCAGATGGATTTAGAGAAAAGAAGGGAACCAAGAAATCGTCAACTTCTTCCCCACCCACTCAGATAGATCACACCCGGGGTGGATACAAAGTCGAGGCATAAATTAGGTGACCTGGGCAGAGGAAAAGGGCCTGAAAGACACTGGTGGCATGAAGTCACACCTCAGGGTCGATATAGTGAAAGAATAGGAGGAGATGCAAATATCCAATACTAGAAGTACTAACAAGCGCCAAGACTGGATTACGGTCCAGGCTGCTCATCACTTGAAAGCTACGATTTGGGAGGAGGAGTTCATAGGGAGGAATCGGACATCCTGTAGGACAAGCCCTGAAGAAGATGGAGAGACTGTTGTCCTCCAAGTTCCACCATGGTGAGCTCACAATCCACTCTCCCCATAGTCCACGTTCCAGGGTTTTGTCCGTCCTGGCAGAGGGGAGGTTTATCTTTAGCCTGGAGTTCAATTCTAAGAGCTCAGCCCTGTGGAGTTTGCAGAAGTGAATAAGGAGCCTTTGGAATAAGCAGATAAAGGCTAATATTCAATAAACTCACGAACAAGAGTTTTCCTTAACCCCCTTGGAAAAGACATCTCTGAAACAAAACCTAGGCCTGAGTTTCAATATTGGATAAGCCCCAGTGATCACAAGGAAAGCTAACATATGTAATTGACTATTGGCAAACACAACTGAACCAAATAAAGCAGTAATTAACAATTATTGTGCTTGAAAGTAACGGAACTAGACATCCAGGCTGCCTCGGAGTTTGTCCCCGGCATCGATAAGAACGGCGTGTTTGTTAGTGGGCGAATAACCCAAGTGTGAAATTCATTTTATTAGACTAGATCTAAGAATAGGCTTGAGCTACCAAATGGAAAAAAGATTTCTCCCCAGCTCCTCACTGTGGCACTCAGGGAATAAGCTCTATGTGCTGTTCTGCATTTATAAAAAGAGAGTTGGTGTAGGTGGTTTGTAAAACTGACTTCAGGTGTGTCCCTCTGCTTATCTGTACTGCTTTCCTGAAGGCTGTGTGGCTCACCTGCCAGGAGTGGAGTCCATTTTCACATCCCTGGCTTTATGATTAGCTTTGGCCAGAGAGGCCATTATGCTAGTTCTGAGCCCTCCCATAGCTGACCTTGCACCCTGCCACTCCCTTGCTTGGGAACCTTGTCTCCACCCCAAGAATAACCCCAGACTGAACAGCTGGTGGGTACAAGTTAATGACTCAGCCAAATGGTCACAGCCCAAGCCCTACACATGTATGTGAACTCATCCAAATCCAGGGAAGCCAATCTACAGCTGATTAACAGCTCACCACAGGGAACACAAGCAATCCCAGATGAGTCCACAGACTTGCCCTCAGAGGCCAAACCCCAACAGGCAATCTACAGCAACTTGGAGCAAATAATGGCTGTTAATATAAGCCAGTGAGTTTCAGAGTTACTTGTTACACAGTCATAATTAACCCAGAGGATTCTGGTTCATAAACACAGAAACGCACTAGGGCTTGGATAAACCAATTCTGATTGCTGAGCTGGGGAGTGGTGACACACACCTGTATCCTAGCACTCAAGAGGTGGAAGCAGGAGGATCACAAGTTCAAGGTCGCCCTCTGCTACATGGTTCAGTTTGAGGCCAGCTGGGGCTAACAGGAGACCTTGTCACAAAAAAGGAATCTTAATGACTACTAATCACTGGGCACTTACTACACACCGTAAACCTCATGTTTCTGAGGTGTGGTTAGCTACCACATCTACTTCACTCTACTTCATCTTTGAAACCCTACAGGGGGGCTCCCACACAGCAGGGGATCCCTCCTGTACCTGGGGTTAGACACAAACCAGACCCAAACACCTGTTTTCACAGAGACCCTTTATTAAGCGGGGAAGAAAAATTAAAGTGGCTGCTTTCTGACTCTGGCAGAAAAACAGCAGAAAATGACCTTGCAGATGTGATTTTTAAGAAGAGAAAGAGGAGGGGTCTGTGTTAGAATGGGACGGGGTGCAGTGGTAGAGGAGATAGGGGATGAAGGGGAAGGGGGCAGGAGGATTTATCCCAGAGGGAAAAGGACTGCCTCTGGATAGAGAGGAGACAGATGTGGTGCCTCTGGATAGAGAAGAGACAGATGTGGGCATGGGCAAATGGTGGTTTATAAAGGTAAAGGGGAACCCTGTATTAGGATGAGATGTTTAATTTGAATTGGGCATGTTATTTAGGTGAGTCAAAGGGGGCTTCTGATTGCTGGACCTTGGTAGTCAGCCAAGGAGGAGGAAGTGGCCAAATAAGGGAACAGAGCGTGGGGGCTAGCTTTAGGGATGTAACCTAACAGTTTTTAGCAAGGAAGAGGGAATGGAGGAGGAGGGCAAGGCCACGTGTTCGAGTTAGCTGGTGTCCCTTCAGTAAAGGCACCTGACACCAGGCCAGATGATCTGAATGCCACCCCTGGAACACACACGGTGGAAGAAGGCAATTGTCCCCTGCACACTGAACTCTGACCTCCACGTTGCACTGTAGCACACCCCCATCACGTACACAATACATAAGCAAGTGTAAAAAAAAATGAAACCCTGCAAGATGGAGTTGTTTCCACCATCTTGCAGAAAAATAGATGGGGAAACTAAGGCAGGAACCCATCTTAAGTAACTTGCCTAAGGATACATAGGAATTGAATAGGAATTCATACCAGCATACTCTTTCTAAAGGGGACCCCAACAAAGGCTGAGGCAATTCCAGTTCTGGGGTGCCTGGTGGAATAACAAGTGACTCTGAAAAAACAAGGGTCACCGCTGCGATAATTTTCAAGCCTCAGATTGATCTAACACTGACTATTCATACCAATGAAAATGGCAATGTGATATAATTGCTAAATGCATGATAACTGGCATTTATTTTTATAGTGTATTAACTCAGTGTACTGCAGGTGCCTTGGTAACAAAAGAAGGCAAATGTCATTCCTGTGGATGTGGTCAGTGTGCCTCTGCTCCATTAGGCATATAAAACATGAAGTCCAACTCAGGCACAAGGCTCTCCTGGATGAGTGCGCGCATACCCACTCACCCACACACCACCAGTCCAGCTCCATAAAACACCCATGACTGGGACAAAGACACCCATCTGCCTGCCACATCCTGCATAATGTCCCCACTTTCTCCTGGAAACCTGAGCAGGGTGATGAGGAACTAAATACAGAAGAGACACACATACCAAAAAGCTGGGATCGGGTGAGCTGTGCTGGCCATGATGGAGGACATCAACACAACAGTAACCTGGAAACTCAGCACATTTATTTTCTACACCTGAATCAAGGCTATGTTGTTTGAATCTTAGATGGTCTTATTAATAGAAGACCCAGAGCCAGATATCAGGGTGAAAACTGAAAGATCAGAGAAGCAGAGCAGCCAGCCACTAGTTCTTACCTCTACAAAATCCTCAGCCTAAAGAGAGTGAGTTCCTGTTTCCTCATGCCTTATATACCTTTCTCTGCCCAGACATTACTTCCTGGGATTAAAGGTGAGTGTGCTTCCCGGTACTGGGGGATTAAAGGTGTGTGCCACCACTGCCTGGCTCTCTTTCCAGTGATAGGATTAAGGGTGTGTGCCACCACTGTCTGGCCTCTGTGTCTAATCTAGTGGCTGGCTCTGTCCTCTGATCCTCAGGCAAGTTTATTAGGGCACACAATATATCACCACAAGGAGGTTTATGGCATTCCTCTGAACAAGGAGGCAGCTTTAAACTAATCTCAGTAGGGGTTTTCTGTTGGGGAGCAGCCTCAAGCTGTAAACATTAGGGAGGAGGAAGCTGAGATTGATAGTTTCTGTCCCCAAAGTCAACGTTTCCACTCAGCCCAGGGGAAGGCTTCACCACTCCCATGGGTCTGAGGCACTGGCATCCCTGACGTGGCTGTGCTCAGGTCAACAGCACACGTTCACTCAGGACTTCCCCCACTCTGCACACTGCCTGAGGTAGCCCTACGTGAGTGAGGACCTCTGTGGGAAGGGTTCAGGCGCAGTCTGGATTTCTGCAGGATCTGAGTGGGTTGTTTTCTTCACGTGAGTAGGTTCTGAGATGCTTCACTCTGCTGTGCCCAGGTCACCCAGAGTCAAGCAAAGCAGGGATTTGCCAAGAAGCCAGGCCACACTGCTGGCCTAGACATAGAGAAGCAGGTAGATGATGCAGGACTCCGCATGGTCCAAGGGGCTGGAGAAGTGTCATCACTTGGAATCTGGACCTTGAAGCATGGCTAGGAGTCGTCTGGAAGGCAAAGGACATGGCAGGCCACTGGAATGACGCCGCTGGTCTAAGCAGGTGGCCTAAGGAGATGTGCACAGTTTAAGACAGACCAGTGTAACCATGGCTACTGAAGCAGGGAACTTGGGAAAACAGTGTTTGACCCAGCTGGGTCTTTCTCTTTTGAGGAGTATAGCTTCGTGCTGCCAAAGAGATATCTCTGCCTGGGGCACAGCTGTGTGTCCAAAATAAACCCACAAGACCAATTCCACCCGCTTTTGCAGCTGCCCATCTGTTGTGGGATATTTGTGCACTGTGTGAAGATGTATTGTTGTGATTGGTGTAATAAAAAGCTGAACGGCCAATAGCTAGGCAGGAGGTATAGGCAGGACTTCCGGGCAGAGAGAGAACTCTGGGAAGAAGAAGGCAGGGTCATGAGCCAGATGTGGAAAAAGCAGGATGGCAGTACCAAGACACCAATGAGACTCTGAAGAAGTCGGGCATATGGTACAGAGTATAGATAACCAAGTCACGTGGCAGAATGTATATTAATAGAGATGGGTTAATGTAAGTTATAAGAGCTAGTGGGACGTGCCTAAGCTAAGGCCAAGCTTTCATAATTAATATTAAGGCTCTGTGTCGTTATTCGGGAGCTGGCTGGTGGGGCAGAGAAAGACTCGTTACACCCACCCACTGCCCTCATTTCAAAGGTCTACAACAAGCTGGGCCGGGCAGTGTAAGCCTGTAATGCCAGCTACTCAGGAGACCAAAGCAGAAGGGACTGTACATTCAAGGGCTGCCTGGGCTACAGAGCAAGTTCAAAGGTCAACCCAGGCATCTTAGTGAAATCGTGTCTCAAAATAGTAAGTTTTTTGTTTTTGTTTTTGATTTGTTAAAGGGGCCGACTGGAGAACAGAGCCCAGTGATGGTATGCTTGCCTATGAAATGTGAAGCCCCAGATTCAATTTCAGATACACACACACACACACACACACACACACACACACACACACACACACCACACACACACACACACACACACACACACACACACACACCCCTCACTACAGTATTCCCTTATATGCTTATGTTGCTGCTGGCCAGGAGCTCCCTAGACTCTCTGTCCTCCCCCTACACACACTAATCAGTGTCACTTACAAGCCAGACTGCACATCTCTGCTTCTAGGCAGTTCTGAGGTCATTCACACAGACCAATTTATTCAGAACAGAAAATGTAATGAGATGGTAGAGTAACAAAGTCACAGCTTCCTCAGGATTTCACAAGCTTGAGGGTAAAGAAAAGCCTAGAAGACAGAAGACAAGGAATATCTGAAGTGACTTGGAATCAAGTCTCCTGATCCAGAGCCATCTGGTCCAAGGACGGCAGATATGTGACATATATGTTCCCCTCCTCCCAGGTGATATTCAGGACAGACATTACTAATCAATTACCACAAATATCTTTCAGATAAGCCTGTGCCTATCAGTCAGCCTGAGATTGATGCCAGTTGGCCATCCCATTGCATGGATAAGATATGCAGATACCCAGAGAGGCTAAGGGGTCCCTTTCAGCAGAACTGTCTCCTATACCACACAACACATTGTTTCTACCTAATTTGTAGGAGACTTGCATGCCTCCTCTGTCATCACGGGGTGACTCTAGGGTGTAGGGTAGGAGTTTACAGTCAATGACCCCCCCCCATTCCCAGTTCAGTTGTTATTTGCCCGTGTTCTAAAAAAGGTTTTTATTATAATAAAAGACCACACACAGGATTAATAAATTGTGCCCATGCACTTAACAGAACCTTGAGGAATTCCTACATTCATCTGTGGGCCAGGCAGCAGTGTGTTCAGCGTTGTGTTGACGAGGACATGATGATGCCCCTGGAGGCTAAAAATGCCTGACTCTGGCATTCTGTTTGAGTAAGGGCTTCAAGAGCTGGTCTCACAAGCAGGCTGAGTCCCACTGTCCCTTCCCGGGGCTGGCAGGAACCCAGAGGTCCCACGCAAGTCACCCCCACCTTACCCTCTGTACAGTGGTCTCTGTGCCACACACCACAAGCCTGCCACTACGACAGGCAGTGACAGAAAGTTCCTGGCCCCCAAGGCTGCCAGCTGCAGCTTTCGCTCATTTTACCTGCCACACACTCTTCAGTCTGTTCCCTGAGTCCTGTGGGAAACTGGTTTTCTGGAGAGAATGTTGATGGGCAGGGAGGGGTCCAGGGCAAGACAAAGAAAAGCAGAAGAGCAGGCACTAAAACCGTCCTCCTCAATTTATGGTACGGCTAGAGCAGTGCCCATCTGCTCATAATTCTTACTGTATCCGTGGGTTATACCTGCCCATTCTGCTCTGGTGGGAGCCGAGGTCCTTGTAAATCCCGCTCCTTCAGAAGGCCCCAAATGCATTTTCTATGGGATCTTGTGCAAAAGAGCTGGTTGCTATGGTAACCATTGGATGTAAATTTCCCAGATCCCCCAACAAAACTATTAATCAGAACGATGAGGGGAGCACCAGGGTGGCAAATAAATCAGGTAAGAAACTGGCTCCTACCAAGAAGGAGCGGGAACAGGGTGCCTCCCGCCTTGTCGGGGAGAGGTGTCCTCTCACCCCTCCTGTGCATCTTCTGATTCAGGGGGAGGACGGCTGTAGCTCCAGGGGACCCCAGCTTCACCGCTCCTCTTTCCTACCGTTCGGTTCCTTTTCCTGTGGAGTCAGAAGGACTGGGAAGCCACACTCGGCACCTCATCAGCAAGGAGGAAGAGGCCTCTGGTTAGAGGAAACATCAAAAGGAAAAAAACGTTGGCACCTGAACAAAATGTTCTGGCTGATCTGAAAGAAACGTTCCAGTGGAGCACGGTGATGAGAGTGAGGGAGGGATTAGACTCCACGAGACAGAAGGCATGGAGCGGGGAGAGGCAAGCCCGGCTGGCTGGCTGGCTGGCTGGCTGGTGCTATCTCTTTCTTTGTCTCTGTGTCTCTCTGTGTGTCTGTCTGTGTGTCTGTGTGTCTGTCTGTCTGTCTGTCTCTCTCTCTCCTTCTCTCCCTCTCCCCATCCCCCACCAAAGGCCTGCCCCACATCAGACAAACTCTGTGCTACTGAGCCTTCTCTCCAGCCCTGGGAGGCTGAATCTGACAAGAAGTTTGCGGGTTAGCTTGTTTGGATTTCCACTAAGGGTTTCGTCCCCCAGCTCCCCTGTTTCTGTTGGAACACACAGTTAGTCACCTGACAGGGGGTTTGGATGACACCTCCAGATCGGAGTCCTGGAACACGGACTGTGCAGAGCAGAAACAAGGACGGGTTATTAAGAGAGAGAACTCACGTGCTGGGCAGTGGTGGTGGTGGCGCACAGTGGCACACGCCTTCAATCCCAGCACTTGGGAGGCAGAAGCAGGCAGATCTCTATGAGTTCGAGGCCAGCCTGGTCTACAGAGCAAGTTTCAGGACAGCCAGCTGTTATATAGAGAAACCCTTTTTCAAAAAAAAAAAAAAAATCAAAGACACAGAGAGAGAGAGAGAGACAGACACAGACACAGAGAGACACAGAGAGAGAGACAGAGCGAGAACTCTTCAGAGGTGGGGAGCAGGCTGGAGCAGAGAAAAAAATTTGAGAACCTAAATGGCCTCACCACACTGTGCAAAGATTTGAGACTTTTCTGTAAACTTTGCTGCTCCATTTGCATAGTACAGTCCTCGTTTATCTACACACACATGAAGTGTATGTAGAATGCATGTTTATCTATGATATGCAGTCTACATACACTGCATGTGCTGTCCACATGACAACTCTCAACTCTCTGCAACTCCAGTTCCAGGGGATCTGACGCCCTCCTCAGGCCCTTGCGGGCACTACACATTTTTTTAAAAGTAAGATAACAATCTCATATACTCGTCTCGTCAGCATACTAAAGCTCCACGCTAGGGTCTGACCTTCAGTACTAGTAAGCCACAGGTTACCTCGGACCCTGGAGTGCCCCCTGCTCCTGCTGTCCCGATGGCCAGTGTTACACCTGGGTAGGAGATGCTGGAGTGTCTGCTCCTGCTGTGCCAATGGCCAGTGTTAGTAGACCTGGGGAGGAGTTTATGATAATTTTGCGGGGCTTGTGAGGTTTTGTGCAAAGCTTTTGACACCTCTCTCTCTGCCCTGTTCTCCTGCCTCGGTCCTGACAAGGTGCTGTGCAAATCTTGCTAAGCCTCCTCTTAGAGACCTACAGACACGGGGAAGCTGGCTTGTCCCACAGCACCTGGGAAGAGGCACCTCACCAAAGACATCACCTTGATCAAGTCCAGCAGGGAACAGGAGAGCCAAGCTCACCCCGAATCCACATCAAGAGCAGAGAGATGCCCCATCGAGGCCGACAGAGAAGCTCCTCCAAGTCCGCTTTGCTCTCCTTTGGTTCTTAAGTTTCTCCAGGAAGGTAAGAGGGGATGGTGAGAATAGAAGAGGGGTGGGAGTGTCTCCACACTGGAGGCAGGAAACGGAGGCAGGGAGGTTGATTTAAAGCTGTAGAGAAAGTTAGACATGGCGGTGCATGCCCGTGGTTCCAAAACACCTGACTTTGGAGGCTGAGGCAGGGGTTTGGAGCTAGACTTCCCTAGAGAGTAAATAAACAGCAGCAACACAATCCACAAAGAGGTAAAAAGCTGACACTCATCCCATCCCCAGACACACACACACACACACACACACACACACACACACACACCTCTGCACCCCAGAAAGGCTACTCTGCCTCAGCATCCTAGAAGACTCTTTTCAGCTCCTTGGAGCCCACAGAGCATTAGAGGCCCCAAGAAGGGAACAGCTCTCCACAGTGAGCATCTGGGAGAGTCAGGGCTCACCTGCCCCAGGGTCTTCTGTCTCCAGTTTAAGCGGTGGTGTCCGCTGTCAATGGTGGAGCATCCTGCCTGGTCTTTCTTGGGCCTTTCCTGCCTGCTCTGCAGTGAAAATGGCAGGCAGGGACCCTGCCAGGATTGGTAATTTCTCACTGTGGGTGGCACTGAGGCTTCCCTGTCCCCTGGAGGAGAGAAATGAAGAGCTGATTAAGTACTTGAAACATCCCTGCCTGCGGATCATTTAATAAGCGCTGTGTCCATCTCTCAGGCTTCAGGCCAGACACTGGGCTGGCTAATCCAATTTGGCAGGTCTCCCTGTGGCAGGCCAGCGTTGCTGGGCACCACATCCTTTGATGTGCGCAGAATCGGTGCAAGGCCCCACACTGGCTCTAGCTGGTGGCGTGACTCTTCGAGATCTAGCCTTATATCACATCCAGCAAAGAAATGGCAACATCTATGATTCAAGAAGCTCAGAGTGATACAACTCCTGATTCAATCGACAGCCTGAGAATAAACCTACAAAACCAGATGTGGTCCACGAAACCGTCACTCCCTGGAGGAAATCTTAGAGGAGGAGACGACTGCAGTGTCTTGCATGAACGCCAAAACCTATGATGTCTCTTTGCTATGACTGTCCCTGAGTCAGGTGCAGAATTCCCGCTCCATGTATCTGCATCCCTCAGCCAGGAGAGTTTCTCTGCCTTGGCCACCCAGCAGATGTAAACACAGGGCTGTGGTGTAGACGCAGATGTTTCCCGTGCAGGCGAAGTACAGTTTCTCACCTCTTTTTTTTTTTTTTAATTTATTTATTTTTATTTTGTGTGCGTTGATGTTTTGCCAGGGGGGCCGGGTCCCCTGGAACTGGAGTTACAGACAGTTGTGAGCTGCCTTGTGGGTGCTAGGAATCGAACCCCGGTCCTCTGGAACAACGGTCAGTATTCTTAACCACTGAACCATCTCTCCAGCCATCTCCCCTCACCTCTTTTTAACTAAGCATTTGAAACTATCATATTTATTACAGCATATGTTTAAAAAAAAAAAAAGGACAGGGTCTCTCTACAGCCCTGGCTGGCCTTGAACTCACAGAGATATGCCTTCTCTGCCTCTTGAGTGCCAGGGTTAAAGGCATGCACCACACCTAGTACATATTCCTCATTTTTGTTTTGTTTTGTCAGTGTAGTTTGTGTAGTTTTGGAGCCTGTCCTGGACTTGCTCTGCAGACCAGACTGGCCTCCAACACACAGAGATCTGCCTGCCTCTGCCTCTCCAGTGTTGGGATTAAAGGTGTGCACCACCACTGCCTGGCTTCTAAAAATCTTGATAATGTAATTATTGGATTTTGCTGAGATGGTAGAAAGAAACACCAATTGTCTGAGATAAAAATATAATGACTCATGAATTATGTGCACTTGAACTTTATTACTTGTTCAGACCTTGCCAGCTCATCCACACAACACCTGACTATGCTCTGTCATCGTTAATTTCTACTGTCTGGGATACTCGATGATCTTCACTCATATAAAAGTTATAGCTGGACATGTTTTCTGCCTTTGCACTTGAGAGTCTAATTGACAAGACAGTAAAGTCAAGCATATGTTAGTTAACCGGCTGTTGGCGCGGATTATGCCTTTTAAATATGTGCTCCTGCCTCTCTTATTCTTATCCTCGGTGCTACAAAGGTCAGAAACAACCTGAGCTCCTTAGGAAGGGCCAGGCTTGAGCTAGGTGTGATGGCTCCTGCCCATGATCTCAGCACTTGCAAAGCAGAGACAGGAGGATTACTCATGAATTAAAGGCTAGCCTGGCCTACTTAGTGAGTTCCAGGCCAGTGTAGATGTAACCAACCGTCTTATTAAATAAGAAACACAGAACCAATGTAAAAGAGAAAGCCAAGAGGTCAGAGCTCAGAGCTAAAATCTTACCCTTCCTCCTGCGGTGCTCCTAGCTCTCCGAAAGAGACCTACTTCCTGTGTGTATGTCTTTAAATAGTCTTTCTGTTCTGCCTTCTCATTGGTTGTAAACCCAAACACATGACTGCCTCGTCACTGCCTGTAAGTACAACCCTCCAGGTCTTAAAGGCATATGTCTCCAATGCTGGCTGTATCCCTGAACACACAGAGATCTATGGGATTAAAGGCGTGTGCCACCACCGCCACGCTCTTTCTATGGCTCTAATAGCTCTGACCCCCGGGCAACTTTATTTATTAACATACAATTCAAATCACATTTCAGTACAAATAGAATACCACCATAGGCCAGCCTTAGCTACATGTTGAGAATTTATTAAAAACAACAACAAAAACCTACTGCGTGGGGCGGGGTTGAGGAATGGGGGACAGGCTCGTCACTCTGCCTTTCTGTCTTTCACAGTTCTTCTTTCCTCCACTGTTCCTCCAGGAACAGACACTTGGAATTCAACCATCTTGTGACCAAGAAGAGGCCAAATGAGTGGCAGAAGCTTAGGCCTGACCACTCTGAACCCCCAAATCCGGTTCAGACACCTACCCCACACCTCACCATGTAAGGAAGGTGAATGGCTGTTCGGTTAAGTCACTGTTATGTGGTTTCCTGCCCTCATCAGCTCAACACAAATCTCTAAAGGTAAATTCCAGTGGGGGCTGGGGGTGGCTCTCACCCCATGCTTTTCTGGTGTCTCTATCTCAGCTCCCACCACACTCAGACAACTGCTTCCTTCCTTCCTTCCTTCCTTCCTTCCTTCCTTCCTTCCTTCCTTCCTTCCTTCCTTCCGTCAGTCAGCCAATCATCTAATAAATATTTACAAAAGCCTACTTTGTGCCAATATCCATGACACTTCAAGCAACTGGAGAGGAATATGAGTCATGATTATCAGAAGAGCTCGTAGTTACAGGGATAAAAAGACAACATGAAAACTGAGTTCATCTATTTTACATTAAGTTTTTTACATTTCATTTGGTGTGTGTGTGTGTGTGTGTGTGTGTGTGTGTGTGTGTGTGTGTATGGCAAGCGCATGGAGGTCTGAGGTCACCTTGCAGGAACCTGCTCTCTCTCTCCACCGTGTTGGTTCTGGGGATCAAACTCAGGAGATGGGGCTTGGTAGCAGGCACCTTTACTTGCTGGGCCATCTTGACCCCCCAGAGAGTTAATCCTCAGTAACTTGGTTAGCCTGAGCCTAGTAAAGCATGAGTGTTCCCAGCACCCATTAGATAATGAGGTCTCTGATCTAATCCATAGTTGGTGGATTCAACATTTGGGACTATTGGGAGGTGGCAAGAAATGGGGACAGGAGACTGGGTGGAGGAAATGAGGCCCCGGGAGGGAGTGTGCTTTTGAAGGGCTTCTCTTACCCCGACTTCCCCATCGACCTTGAGGTGAATAGCCTCTGCCTCCCGTTTCCACCGCCATGACCTTCTGCCTCATCACAGGCCCCAAATCAGCACAGCCAACCAGTGGACAGGGAACCCAGGTAAGGCCCACCCCAGTGACAGATACTTTGTCCCAGGGGTGCAAAGTCTGGCCAGCCCAGAGATGATGACAGCAGACCCTGGCCTTGCCTATGGTATTAGTTGAGGCACAGGCCCTGTCCCAGCATCAGAAATCC